TCCACGGAACTACACCGTATAATTCATCATGAAAACTATACCATAATGACGAGTTCGCGACGTAGGGAAAATTTCGATAAATAGCCAAGAAGCGATCATGAACACACAAGGATGATTTGACGACGATTCTCTGATTTTGGTGGGTATTTTGTGAGCTGGAATGAAAAATAATGAAGAAGATGTTATCTTATAAGGTTCCACCGACTAGGGGACCCACTAGCCGTCTCTACTGCGAATTCGGTACAAAAAAGTGAATATCTCTCTATTCAGATATCATGTGAATAAACGGTTTGATGCGTTGGAAGCTTGACTCGTAGACCTTCGATTTGATATATTATGGGCCCTCTAACTCTTCTTATATTGGGAGAAAACCTTTGAGGCATTTGCACTAAATTTCAGATATATGTTTACAAAGGAACTTGCAATAACTTTCGCTAACTTTTATTACAAAACTCGCTTAACTTCCAAAAATTAAGATGTGACTCTTGAGAACTTAAAAAATGACCCACATCATTACTTATATAATAATCACTCTCCGTCTTGCCATGAAGATACGAGTTAAGTTAGAGTTCCAAAAAGTTAGGGTGTTACATCCTCCCCCCCTAGAAACATTCATCCTCGAATGAAAAATCTAAGCCACGCGGTTAAGTCCTTAGTAGATGCCAAAACTTTGACAGAGTGCCCTCCATAACCATGAATAACCAGGAACCTAAAATTTAGAAGATTTAGTCTAAGCATCTCAAAGGACGATACAAATAGCTAAGCACCATAGAACCGCAATAATAGTACGAAAAAAAATACAACAACAATAATAATAAGCAATGATAAAAAGACTAAATGGGTATCGTACCTCACTATGCTAATCAAAAATTGATATTTTTACCACTATGGGATCTAAAACAACTGAGGATAACTGGATCTCATGCCATCCTCGGCTTCCCATGTCACCTCTTCCCTATTCTTTTTTATCCATAATACTTTAACAGAAGCCACATCTTTTGTCTTCAACCTTCGGACCCGCCGATCTAATATTGATACTAGAATTTCCTCACATGACAACTCCTTTGTGATTTGAACATCCTCAACAGGGACAGCCCGAGAAGGGTCTCCTATGCACTTTCGTAGCATTGATATATGGAAGACCGAATGAATCGATTCTAGCCCCGATGGAAAATCTAACTCATAAGCCACCTGTCCGACCATTCAAACGATTCGATATGGCTCAATGAATCTTGGACTAAGCTTTCCCTTTTTTCCACATCTCATAACACCCTTCATAGGTGAGACTTTTAAGAATTCCCAGTCATCAACACAAAACTCTAAATCTCTTCGCTGCACATCTGAGTATGACTTTTGGTGACTTTGAGCAGTTAATAAACGTTCTCGAATGAGCTTAACCTGCTTCATTGTCTGTTGTACCAGGTCGGGTCCAGTGAACCCTAACTCACCTACCTCAAACTAGCCAATAGGGGATCTACATTTACGACCGTACATAGCCTCATAAGGTGCCATCTTGATGCTATATTGATAGCTATTGTTATATGCAAACTCAATAAGAGGTAAGTGGTCATCCCAACTTCTATTAAAGTTCAACATGCATGCCCGTAGAAATTCCTCAAGTATTAATATTGTGTTTTCAGCTTGGCCATCCATTTGAGGGTGAAAGTTTGTACTGAGATTAACTTGCGCCCCTAATCCTTTCTGGAAAGACTTCTAGAAGTTATCAGTAAATTGTGCTTCTCTATCCGAGATAATAAATATTGGGATGCCGTGCAACCTAAAAATCTCTCAGATGTAAAGCCCTACATAGTATTCAACTGTAAAAGTAATCTTGACCGGTAATAAGTGGGCTGATTTTGTTAACCTATCAACAATTACCCAAATAGAGTCAAACTTACACCGCGATCGAGGTAACCCAGTAATACAATCCATATTAAGTGCCTCCTGATGTGCTAACAATTTGGACTAATTTAGGGATATATTTTGATAGAATTAGTGTCCTCAAATGCATATTTTGTCTCAATATCTGATGAAAATCCTTAAGTTTTAGTTATTTAGAGTTTGAGGCAAAGCATGGACACTACTTGGCAAGAAGGAACAAGGCGACTGAAAAGAACGAAGAAATGAAGGCCTGAAGATCGCCAAGCCTAGTTGGCGAGTCACCGATGGGCCTGGAGATCAACTTTTGTTTCATTGTGCTGAGCCCTGAAGGAAAAGGTCAAGTTGGCGATGAAATAGAGCAGTCGGCGCGTCGCCGATCAGTTGTGCGAAGCAGTAGCATATCGCCCAATGACTCAAAACACAAAGATGCTGAAGGCTAAAGTAGGAAGGCGATGAAATTGACCAAAAGGCGAATCGTCGAGAGTATCAGTGATCCCGACTAACTGCAATGGATGGTCCTCCGCAGTACAAATTTTCAAACACTATAAATACTTGTTTTAATTTCTAGTAAAAAAAATATCACTTCTATTATTCGAACTTTTTACAGTTTTCGGAGAGTTTAAGTTTTAGAGGGTTTTGGAGACTTTGTTCTAAGACCTTGAAGATTCAAAGG